GCTCCCGGCTCCCGGCTCCCCGCTCCCGGCTCCCGGCTCCCGGCTCCCCGCTCCCCGCTCCCGCCGAGTGACAAGCCCTCCCTCCACTCAAAGCCCTCCCTCCCCACGGGTTCCTTCCACCCCGCCGCCCCACCCCGCCCCTGCGTCTCGCCAGGGACCTCCTCACTCCTTAGTCCAGGGCTTGGCCGCCAGGATTTCCTGCTGCTGCTTCTTGTCGTATTTGTAGATTTCGTCGATGCTCTGGGCTTCCTGCATGTTGTTGGCTAATTCCCAGGTCTTCTGAGCCATTCCACTCCCGGACGCCGCCATCTCCCAGGAATGGGGGGAGTTGTCTCTGCAGCCAACCTAAATGTTTCACTTCGCTCTGTTTCTAAGTGCGGGCTTCAGTCCTTGGGACGAGTGCAAAGTCTCACTAGGCTCTCGGGGCAGCCATGACACCCGGGACCGGAAATGAGCTTGGTACAGACCATCCGGGACCGTAGAGGGCCCTGAGGGAAAGAGAGATAAAAAGCAATTACGCTTATAGCTAAGGAGAGGCGAACTGGCTTGTGGGTGAAAACCGTGTCTTGTGTTTTGGAAAACTGTATAAGTGAATTAAGACAAACACGACGTTTCGGCGTGGGAATGGTATAGTCCGCCGCACCGGAAGAAGGGCGGTTAACATGCCAGAAACGAAGTTGCCGTCTATGTTCGTACTGCGCAGGCTCGAAATTCGCCTTAGAGTTTGTGGGTGGAGCCTTAAGGTGGCCTGGGAGAGAGTTTTTGTGTGGGTGTATAGGTACTGTAAATAAGTTACTTGGAAGACTAAAAGTTATAAGGACTTCTTTGGAAAAACTGAGATGTTTTAAATAGCTTTGGATGCTGATTCTGAAGAGGATGACAAGCAAGGAATCCTATTTAACACAATTCAATGCACAGGAGTTAAACCTCAAGGGTTTGGTGTTGTTTGGACAGTAGGCTTTTAGTTGGGTTATCACTAGTATCCTGAATAGATTATTTCAATTTATACCTTTTATCCTACTTGTAAAAGTTAATTATCCGTATATGTATAAAGAACTTAGTGGGGCTGGGATGTAGCTCAGTGGCAAAGCGTTTGCCTAGCAAGCGCAACGTCCTGGGTTCGATCCCCAGTACCAAAAAAGAAAAGACAAAAAAAATACAGTTAAAAAAAAGAACTTAGTGTTCAGCAAATACCAAATTTTGTCTTTGGTCAAATCACTGTTATGAATTGCCGTTGTTCTAGGGCAGGATAAATCTTCCAGCACTTAATACCATGTTTCATTTGTTACTTTACTTATTTTAGGCATTTCCCCATCTCATCCAACATCTACACTAAATTCTGTTTCAAGACACATATCTGTGTTCATGATTTTATCCTTAACACCTAGTATAACTTCAATTTTGTTGATGAAAACAAAAAAAAAAACAAACAACCCAACTCTTCTTCCTAATCGTATTCCTACATATCCTGCCAACATCATTTTCAACTTTTCATTTTTATTCCAATAATGCCCATACTTTTGCTTTGGGTTAGCAATACAAAATGTATTGCACATTGCTTGAAAATGCTGTTCCTTGACATTCTCCCTGGGAGCCCATACTAATATTTTAAAAAAGCAACTCGGATTTATACCATCAATTTTTTCTTGATTGTCCAGTAACCATTACCTTCCCTGGTGTCTTTAAGGCCCCGCTGCTTCTGTAAATTGTTACATATTGCTTTGTAGTAATTAATTAGTTTCTGTGAAAAATTTCCTTTGTCATTCATTGTAGGCTTTGCGTTTTGTCCCCCACCCTTATGGTGCTTGGAAAATAAGTAGTTAAAAACAAGTGGTTTTGACATCGACTGGAGAAAATTTGCCTTTAAAACCACCTTACAATATAGTTAGGATAAATTAGGACCCTTAGGATATATTAGTACTATTAGTTAGACATAACTGGGAAGCTAGCAATCCCTTTCAAGGGGTAGCCTAGGGCCAAGTAACTTGTTGAAATGGTAATGGAAGTCCAGGACAAAGTTGACTAGATTTAGGAGCTGGGAGTAATAAAATTTGATAGAAATGTAAGAGTTATCCTTCCCCTTTTCCTTTCCTAGCTCTGACACTGTTCCCAAATCTTCCCCTCCCCTCAGAGGGAAGGGGGTTGGAATGGATTTGACCCAGGGTAGGGCTTAGCACCGGAAGGAGGTGATTGTCAGCTGCCAGGGTGCCCGACACCTTGCGTGAAGCCCCGCGGCTGCGCAGCCTCCGGGACTGCAGGGGGCGCCCTCGCACGCGTCCCGGGGCGCCAGTGGGGGCGGAGCCAGGTCGGGCCGTTGGCGCGGGGCGCGTGGAGGGCTGTGCCTGAGAGGCGGAGCGACTGGCCCACCCGCAAGTCCCCGTGTTCCCGCCCCGGGCGAGCCGCTGCCACCTCTCTCGACCGCTAGGAGCCCCAGTCGCGCGTCTCCGGGACGCGAGGCCGCTTTCCCGAGTGAGAGTCCTCCGGCCGCAGGCAGGCAGCCAGCCCCGCGGGATGTGGCTGGAGGTGGGCGGCACTGCTGAGAGGGTTCCAGGGCCGCGGCGGGGGCTCGCGGCGGCCTGGTCGGCGGGCGGCGAGCGGCGATCCTGCGGGGTCGGAGTCGCGGGGTCCTCCCAGCAGCCGGTCCGGGGACGCGGCCCGGGCTTGGGGGCTGGGGAGCGGACGGCGTCTGGCGGTAGCCGGGCGGGACCGGTGTCGGGGAGCTGGAGTCTGGGTGGCTGTTGTTGGGGCGGCGGTGCCCGGGAGACCGGGGTGGGAGTTCCTCTCAGTTGCCATGGTTATGCGGCGCCGACTCCCTGGTCACCCGGGTCGCCGCTGTCGCGGGTGTTGTTGGGAGCCGGTTGCTTGACGACGCGTTGACGCTTTTGAAAGCCTCCGAGGTCCTGGGCGCCGGCGGTGACTGTGCGGGCCGTGCCCGCGCTCCCGCGAGCCTCCCTCTCCGAGGCCCGGCTGTTGGTCTGCCGCGGGGTGGATCCTTTCCTGCGTGGCGCCCTCACCGCGCAGGGCTGGTTAATGGTTGGCGTGTGAGTGCCTCGGCATCCGGGCACGATCCCTTTGCGCCCTTGCTTTGCTACTAAAATTTACTTCGTCTTCACCATAAATCTTTGAGGTTGGTGCTATTTTTACCCCCTTTCCTCCCCTGTAATTGCCTGGTCCCCGGAGCTAGAACTTCATCCCTCTGTCTGGTTGTTAAGATTTCTTATTTGGATTTTGAGCCCAGTTTTCCTTTAAGGGTTAGCAATGGGACTCCTCTTGGAGAGGGGCTGCTTGCCAAGGTTATAGATTTTGGGGGAAGACTAAATTTTGAACTAAACCACCACCTAATTTTCAAACACCACACAAGGCGAAGACTCAAAAACTGAGTCTGTTTGCCACAAGCTTGTTATCCTGAGGTGGTTCTATTTTGTGAAGAAGAATGGCTTGCCATGTGAGTAAGCAAGGCAGAATCTCCTGGAAACTAGTAGGATGCTTTTTCTCCATTGTCCTTTTCCTCTGACTTTGTGGTGGTTAGATATCTGATGAAATACTCAACGGGGAAGACGTTTTTGGATCTTCTGCAGCACAGATGATCTTCTGCCAGGCAGCAGGTGGATTTAGACAAGTCCTGAAAACAGATGTTTTCAGGACTCATTTTTCTCAAGTGAGATTTTTCAGACAAATAGGATTTAACGATTAGAATCCAAATCTCATTATTTTTAATTAGCATACCTACTTTCCTGAGTAGTAAACAAATTTGATTTAGCAAATGTTTTAACAATTATGCATATATGAAAGGCTGCTGCCCTTAATCACCACTAATAATGTATTACCAATAGTTGCTAAAACTCTCAAGAGTGGGTTTACATAGTTATTCTCTTTGTTTTTTTATTTTTATCGGTCATGGGGCCAGAACTCTGGGCCTGGGCACTGTCCCTCAGCTCTTCAGCTCGAGGCTAGTGCTTTACCACTTGAGCCACAGTGCCACTTCGAGCCACAGTGCCACTTCCAGCTTTTTCTGCTTATGTGGTGCTGAGGAATTGAACCCAGGCCCTCATGCATGCCAGGCAAGCACTCTACCACTGGGCCACTTTCTCTTTGTATCCTGTCCTCCATCCTTCCTCTTTTTCCCACCCCAGGAAACAAAGTATTTGTTTCTTAGCAACATTTAGAGAACTTTACTACCTGGGTACAACCACCAGACAGAGTAAGTTGTGCTCTTCCATAGGAACCTTTTCCCACTTCATACTTATATGCTATTCAGCCCTGAAACTACCTGAGACACCCTGAGACTACAGGTGTGTCCTTCCTGACATATGAAGTCTTATCTTGTTGGCTCATGCCTGTACACCTAGCTATTCAGGAGGCTGAGATCTGAAGATTGTGGTTTGAAGCCAATCTGGAGAAGCAAAGTCCATTAGACTCTTATCTCCAATTAACCACTAAAAAGCCAGAAGTGGTGCTGTGGTTCAAATGGTAGACCACTAACCTTGAGTGAAAAAATTCAGGACAGCACCTAGGCCCCAGGTTCAAGCCCCAGGATCAGCTCCCTCCTCACCCCACCATCAAAAAGGAGAAAAAAGAAAAATAGTGTGCTTTATTACTGTAGTTTCTGGTAATTAAATCCATTTTAGAATTTATAATTGATGCTAAATTATAGTGCAGGAAGGTACAAATATAAATTCAAGAAGGATTTCTTTCATATTCTGGTTAAACAACATTTAAATGAGTATGCTAAATTAATCATTCCTGGTAGGTTTGTATGGAAACCTTGAAGTGTAAAAGAGACTTGTTTTTAGATCAGTGATGGTTTTGCTCTATACTGTATTAACTCCTACAGCAAACAATATACATTATTCTCATTTTTATCAGACAAAATTTTTAGGACAATTAGAATTTTAAGAAGTATTTTTATTTTTAGATGATTGTGCTAGTACACTCCTGGAATCGCTAGCCTGGGAGACTGAGGTAGGAAGATTGAGAGTTTAAGGCCAGCTTGGGGTACAAAGTGAATTCTAGACTAGTCTGGATTGCATAGTCAGATTTTGTCTCTAAAAACAAAACCAAACAACACCCCTCCCCCCATAACAAAAGAAAGTTTGCTATATGAAACTTGTTGGTTGTTTGAGTGTTCTGAATAGTTGATAGGAAGAATCTTCTGTGAAAATAAGCAAGTTGGTGGGGGGAGGAGTTGGGGAGGTGGGGAAGAAAGGGAGGGTAGGGGAAAAACAAAAGGGGATAACAATGCTCCATAGGAAATGTACTCATTACCTTACTCATGTAACTAACCCCTCTGTACAGTATCTTTACAATAAAAATATATATTAAAAAATAAGCAAGTTAATAATAACTGAAATACATTAACTTTTGTTGGTTTGGGTTTTTGAAAGCAAATAATGGAAGAAAGTTTCTGGTAAAAGTCTCCATATTTTTTTAAATGTAAAACTTGCCTTTTACACTAAAAAAATTCATTGTTCCCTAAACATTAAATCTATTTTTTTTTTTTTTTGAGATGGGGCCTTGTGACCTATTTTTGCCTTGGATAGCTTGATAGCACCAGCTCAGCCTCCTGTGTAGTAGGATGACAGGCCTATAATAGCTATTGACTGAGATGGTGAACTTTTTGACCTGGCTGGCCTTGAACTTTAATCCACTTGATTTCTGCTTCATAGGTAGCAAGGATTACAGATACGAACCGTTCATGTTTGTCTCCCTTATTTTCTTTGAGATAGCCTCCTCTGTAGCCCAGGCTAGCCTGTACCTTACTATATAGTATGAGATGGCTTTGAACTCACCATCCTCATGCCTCTGCCTTTTAATTATTTCTTGGTTTTTTTTTTTAATTTTTCTACTTTTATTTAACTTCTTCCTCTCCAAGTGACCATTGCCCAGTATTTACTTCTGGATCATTTCCTTTTTTTCCTACCTCATTTACTAGGAGTTTAGCTATGCTCTTTAAAATAGTTGACTTCAGGAAGTGGCGCTGTAGCTCACTAGAGCTACAGCCTTGAGCTGTATTAGAGCACTAGCCTTGAGCTGAAGAGCTGAGGGACAGTACTTAGGCCCAGAGTTCAAGCCCCACGACCGACAAAAAACAAAACAAAATAGTTGACTTCATAGCATTCAACCTATATATGTAAAAATGGAATCAGGTAACTTAAAGGATGGTGGGGTTAGAATAAGAGGAGGGGAGGGGAAGTTGACGGAAGGAGTAACATTGATCAAGATATATTACTAGGCACTTGTGGATCATGCCTGTAATCTAGCTATGGAGGAGGCTGAATCTGAGGATCATGGTTTGAAGCCAGCATGTCAGAAACCCCTTTTGACTCTTATTTTTAATTAACTAGAAGAAAGCCAGATGTGGAGGTGAGACTCAACTACTAGAGTACCAGCCTTGAACAAAGAAACTAAGGAAGAGTGGGAGTTTCTAAATTCAAGCTCCAGTACTAGTGCTTGTGCATGCACGCGTGTGTACACACACACAGAGATGTGTTTTATTCATAAATTGTTATATTGAGTTGAAACTCCCCCCCGCCCCTATTTTTAGTTGTGGGGATTGAGCTAAGGGGGCCTGAGCTCTTTTGCTCAAGACTAGCACTCTACCACATAGAGCCACAGTGCCAGTTCCAGTTTTCTGGTGGTTAATTAGAGATGAGTCTCATGCACTTTGTTGCCCAGGCTGGTTTTGAACCATGACCATCAGATCTCAGCCTCCTGAAGAATATAGGATTACAGGTGTGAACAACCATTGCCCAGCTGAAAACCCCTTTTTATACTTACTTAAAGATAATAAAAAAGTAAGAGAGATGAAGCAAAGGAACTTAGTTTCTAAAATTTTTGCTTTATATTTATTGGGTTTTAGAGATGAGCGAGGCCTACTTTTTGTGTGTGTGTGTGATGGTCCTGGGACTTGAACTCTGGGCCTGAGTGTTGCCCCTGTGCTTTTTTTTTTTTTGCTCAAAGCTAGTGGTCTACCACTTAAACCACAGGATGGCACACTTCTGGCATTTTCTGAGTAGTTTATTGGAAATAAGAGTCCGACAGACTTTTCTGCCCTGGCTGAGTTTGAACCACAATCCTTAGATCTCAGCCTCCTTAGTAACTAGGATTACAGGTGTGAGCTACTAGAGCCTGGCAAGGCTTACTTTTTCTCTTTTCTTTCTTAATGACCACATAGTCTTTGAGAGTTGATCTGTATTTTTCCCCTCTCCCATGATGTCTTTGTTGACCTTATAGCTCAGAGGGCTATTCTAGTTGTCTTATTGGGTGATGGAATATTATAAAACATGATTGTCATAATATTTGAACACTCAAAATTTCCTAAAACTCATTTTAACTCTTCATTAGAATAAGTGAATTTTTTAATTAGCTTATATTATACTGGTGTATGGGAATTTATACTGCATTCTATCATACTCCTTATCTTTCAGCCCCCTGAAAAATTGCATTCCATTTTCATAGTTGCAAATAATTTACTTGGACAGTATTCAAGCTCCTTTATTCTCCCTATCAGCATAACTTTCCTGCTAGTCCTCACCCACCTTTAGTGTCTTTTTCTTTTCCCCTCAACCCACTGTTGATCATCAGCTTTCTCTGTGCTGCTCTCATATATACTTGGGATGTGCTACAAAGTTGTTCACCCTCTTCTTTTTCCATTCTCTCTTCTCTCCCTGAGCAGTCTGTGTTTGACCATCTAAGTAAATATATGATGATGATATGTACTTATGTACATGTCAATGAATATGTATGTCCTTTAGGTTTAACTCCCGCATATGATTGAAAACATGGTATTTTGGGTTCTTTTGAGCCTGACTTGTCTTGCTCAGTGTGATATCTTCTAGTTTCATCCATTTTCTTACAAATGACATTTCACTTTTCTTTGTGGCTGTGTAATATTCCATAGTGTGTATTTCATATCTTCTTTATCCATACATTGAGTGAATTCTATGACATAAATTATTTCTCATTTAAAACTATAACTTAAGAATTTAAAAACAATTCCAGAGTGGGGTGTCTGGTGGCTCATGCCTGTAATCCTAACTACTCAGGAGGCTGAGATTTGAGGATTGTGATTTGAAGCCAGCCCTGGCAGGAAAGTATGTGAGAATATTTCCAATTAAGACTGGTGGCTCATGCCTGTATCCTAACTACTCAGGAGGCTGAGATTTGAGGATTGTGATTTGAAGCTAGCCTGAGAAGAACAGACAAATCTAGTTAATTAGCTAAAAGGTGGAAATGGAGGCATGGCTCAAGTGTGAAAGTGCCAGCTATAAGGAAAGAAGCTCAGCAAGAGTGTGAAGCACCAGCACCAAAGAAAAAAATCAACAGTTGATAGGAAAATTTTGATCAGGAGTAGGGTATTTACATAATCTTCCTCACAGATTGTTAGGACTACAGGAAATAATAGTAGTCAGGCAACTTCTTGAACAGTTGATAAAACATATAGTGGGTACGTTTTTGTTGGTGATACCTTGAGAAAGATAAACTTTCCATAAGTAATATTCCTGTAGAGAATGTATGATCTGGGCTGGGAAGATGGCTCAGTGGTAGAGGGCTTGCCTTGCATGCTCGAGGCCCTCGGTTCGATTCCTCAGCACCACATAAGCAAAAAGAAAAAAGCCGGAAGTGGCACTGTGGCTCAAGTGGTATTTACATAATCTTCCTCACAGATTGTTATGACTACAGGAAATAATAGTAGAGAAGTCAGGCAACTTCTTGAACAGTTGATAAAACATATAGTGGGTACGTTTTTGTTGGTGATACCTTGAGAAAGATAAACTTTCCATAAGTAATATTCCTGTAGAGAATGTATGATCTGGGCTGGGAAGATGGCTCAGTGGTAGAGGGCTTGCCTTGCATGCTCGAGGCCCTCGGTTCGATTCCTCAGCACCACATAAGCAAAAAGAAAAAAGCCGGAAGTGGCACTGTGGCTCAAGTGGTAGATCGCTAGCCTTGAGCTGAAGAGCTGAGGGACAGCGCCCAGGCCCAGAGTTCAGGCCCCATGACCGGACCCCCCCCCAAAAAAAAAGAGAATGTATGATCTGAATTTAGTCATTAAGGACTAATGTTTTGACTAATGTCAAACTCTGGATTAGGATTGGTTTATTAAAAGTGGCTAGTAGGTAGATTTTATTAAAAAATACTAATGTCATAAGAGATGAAGGCTGTAAAGATGTTCCAAATTAAAGAAGGCTGAAGAGACAGAACAATGAAGTACAATACCTAACCTAGTCTGGAACCTCAATTGGGGAAAGGGAGAAATAAGATGTTAAGACCCATATGGGCCAGCTCATAAAATTGGAATATGGAAAATAGACCATTTAAAAAAAATCAGTGTTTCTGAGGTTGGTAAATCAAATTAAAGTTATGTAAGAAATTTGTCCAAAGGATTGGAGCTGTGATTCAAGTGGTAGAGCACTTGCCTAGAGAGCACAAGGAAGTCCCTGAGTCCAACACTCAGTACTGCCAAAACAAACAAAACCCTAGTTCTTGTGGTGCTAGACACTGAACCTAGTGCCTCACATGTGAGGTAAGTATTTTTTCACTGAACTACATCCCCAGCTCCCACTCGAGCCACAGCACCACTTTGGCTTTTTTTTTTTTCGGCTTATGTGGTGCTGAGGAATCGAACCCAGGGCCTCATGCATGCAAGGCAAGCACTCTACCACTGAGCCTCCAGCCCCCCACTCAATTCTTAAGAAGTATCCTTTAAGAGTTTATGTACTGAGGGCTGTAATATATGCAATTCACCCTCTTAATTAGAATTCATGTACATGCATGTAGACGTGGCCTTCTGTATACAAGCAAAGAATAAAGCAGGGTAAAATCTGAACAGTGAGAAATTAGAAAAGAGTGTGTAAGGATGCTTAGTATCATTTTTGTGACTTTTCAGCAAGTTAGAAATTAGATAAAAACACTTTTTTTATGCAGGAGGGAAATGATGTTTTGTCTTTAAGGATTTATTTACTATTCATTGTGTGTGGATAGTGATGATTATATATTTTAATTTTTTTTTTTGGGTCCCGTCATGGGGCCTGAACTCTGGGCCTGGGCGCTGTCCCTCAGCTCTTCAGCTAAAGGCTAGCACTCTACCACTTGAGCCACAGTGCCACTTCTGGCTTTTTCCTTTTTGCTTATGTGGTGCTGAGGAATCGACCCCAGGGCCTTGTGCATGCAAGGCAAGCACTCTACCACTGAGCCAGCTTCCCCCAGCCCATATTTTAATTTTTTGAGAGCATATATTATACAAAATAATGGTTTTCAGTAAGACATTAATGTATTTTTATCAGATTTGTTTTTTTGGGTTCGGTCGTGGGGCCTGAACTCTGGGCCTGGGCGCTGTCCCTCAGCTCTTGAGCTCAAGGCTAGTGCTCTACCACTTGAGCCACAGCGCCACTTCTGGCTTTTTTCTTTTTTTGCTTATGTGGTGCTGAGGAATCGAACTCAGGGCCTCAGGCATGCAAGGCAAGCACTCTACCATTGAGCTACCTTCCCAGCCCCCAGAATAACCAATTTTTGAACTCATAAAAATCTTAACACCAGAAGATAAAGAAGCTGAAGACCTTAAAAATTAAGGAACTATATCAAAATATAACACTTTAATTCACCATAGATGTATATTAGCTAATTACTTATAGGAAATCAAAATGTAAAAAGTTAACAATAAATCTGATATTTACAGTAGTACAGTCATTTTGAGGATTTTTTTCAGTAAAGTGATAAAAAAAAAAAGTCCATTAACTACTATTCAGTCTCCTAGACAACATTCTTTTTTATTTGGTAGTATACAAAAGCAAAGAAACTATTTAGGAACATACCTCTAACCATAAAATAATCCAGATGTGAATAGTTTTGAGTCAAATGAGAACAATTTTTCAATCAAATGAATCATATTTGACTTACTTCTTTGTGAAAGTTTTAGCCACCATCAATGATTCTCAACATGCATCTTAAAAATATTCCTATTTTCTTAAAAATTGTACCTACCAATAAATCAAATGATAAAGTTTTCAAATACATACTAAAACTATCATAAATCAGTATGACTATAGTATTTTTTTTTAATTTATTGGTACTAGAGCCATACCCCCAGGCCTTTGGTTACCTAGAGCCAGCTGGACTAAGATCTTCTCACCTACACTTACCATGTAGCTGTGATGACAGGTATGAGACATTTGTGCCCAGCTTATTTTTTTTTTTTTTTTGTCGGTCGTGGGGCTTGAACTCTGGGCCTGGGCGCTGTCCCTCAGCTCTTCAGCTCAAGGCGAGCGCTCTACCACTTGAGCTACAGCGCCACTTCCGGTTTTCTGGTGGTTTATTGGAGATAGGAGTCTCACGGTCTCTCCTGCCCGGGCTGGCTTTGAACCTCGATCCTCAGATCTCAGCCTCCTGAGTGGCTAGGATTACAGGCGTGAGCCACCAGCACCCGGCTAGTTATGTGCTTCTTAAGATGACTAGGAGATAGTACAAAGAAATATAGAATGTATATAGCACAGATGTATAAGAAAGTTCTCATTCTGTGTGAAAAAGTTAGATTAATGGATTTGAAATTCTTTGAAATCTCTATTAGTAAATTCATTTGGGTAGTGTATTTTGTACTATTTGCTTTGAAGATTAATTTGTTACAACTTTCTGTAGACAGTGTCTAGAAAGTTTTAAAGTTATTCTCATTTTGGTGAAATAATTTGTCTAGCAAACTCTGAGATTATGTTAGGTACTGCTAGGCTCTGAAAACACTGTACTAAATTAGACAGATGTGTCATGATCTTTCATGGATAAGTGCATGTAGCAAGTTGATAAATCTGTGCCATATGCTCTATCATAATAGAAATACCATGTAGATTGCTTTACTCAAGTATTTGTCTTACCTTTGTGTTAGCGTCTACTAAGATTTATGAGCATGTGTCCTGGACAAAGCTATTTAAGTTGAGATCGTAATTTGGATATTCTAATTATGGAGTATTTTTACTTGCATAATTAATATTTTTTGAGTGTTAGGGTATTAACAAGACATTGTCCTAAAAGATTATATTTCATAGTAATCTGCGATAAGTGATGATGTTGTGATTGTCTGAATGAGTAAATGGAGATGTATTTTGAGTATTTTGAGGCTAAGGTGATAAGAGTTAGAACTAGTCTTTGACCCTTGTTAACTTGACTGCAGTGCTTATTTCCTAATCCATCATACTTGATTTTCTTCCTTCCATAATAATCTGTCATGAACATGGGTATGCCAAGGATTTCATATGTATCATTTAGTCTAGTTGTAATATCCCTATGAATTAAGGGCCATTAAAAAATAGACCAAGAAAATGAGATTCAAACGAGTTAAGTAATTTATCCAGGTATATACAGGTAGGTTCAGGACTGCAACCTTCATCCAGTTCCAGTCTATGCTCTTAATTACCCTATGGCACTGCAGGCTAGCATGCAGTATTTGGAGTTATATAGTATAGTACATAGCTTTAAATATGCCTATTATAGCCTCATATTAAATAGTAAATAACCTTTTAAGTGTTAGTTCAAGATCATCTGCTCATTGAAGCCTTGTTGTCTCTCTTCCAGCATTTCTGGGCTTACCAACCTTACCCCACCTTTTCCCCATAGCTACTGCTTTGTTCACTCTTTTTATATCACATAATTTATATATCATGTTTCTTATGTGTCTTACCAACAATTATAAGCTTTCTGATGGCATAGGTTTTTATATATTCTTTTACTCATTAATGTAAGAATTCATTTTTGATAAGTACATGAATTAAATTTATTAGAATATTCACATAACTTTGTTTAATATCTCAAACCTTACATTTAAATCTTTCCTATTACCATGTAATTTTGTGAAGCTATTAAAGTTTTGATTAATTGCAATTGTGTACTCCTTGCCCCTAATTTATAATCATTATGTCTCTTTCAGGGAAAGGCTTCAGAGAAGCTTTCTGAAAATAGTAAAGTATTAGTTTCCATGGCTAAGGAAAACATACCACCAAACAGTCAACAGACCAAGGGGTCCTTAGGTATGTTATAAGACACACTATACTAACTTTAAGATGTCTTAGCAGGTCATTCTGAAGGAAAATTATCTTTGTTAGAAGAAAATATTTATTTGAAATTCTAAATCTTTACTTTCTGGAATCATTCATGTGACAATATAGATTGCATATGAAACTTATGCTGAGAACCTTGTACTTAGTATTACCTTAGTTAAGATTTAAAGAAATCAAAGCTGGGTTCCAGGGGTTCATGCCTGACTATGAGAAGGCTAACACCAGAAAATTGTGGTTTGAAGTCAACCTGGGCAGAAAAGTCTGAAAGATTCTAATCAACTAGCAAAGTAGCCAGGCTGGCTCAAGTGGTAGAGTGATAGGCGTGAGCAAGTGAGCCAAGCAAGCTCTAGGCACGTGAGTTCAAATCTATAAACTCTAAGTTCAAGATTTGGTCTAGCCGGGCACAGTTGGCTCACACCTGTAATCCTAGGTACTCAGGAGGCTGAGATCTGAGGATCATGGTTCAAAGCCAGCCCAGGCAAGGAAAGTCCGTGAGACCCTTATCTCCAATAAATCACTAGAAAACCAGAAGTGGTGCTGTGGCTCAAGTGGTAGAGTGCTAGCCATGAGCTGAAGAGCTGAGGGACAGCGCCCAAGCCCATAGAACTGACCAAAAAAAAAAAAAAAAGATTTGGTCTCAGCAAAAAAATATGTATAGAAATCATAGCAGCAAGTTTGTATAGCATAACTAAAAATTAGAAAGTCTGAATGGAATGTGTATGTGTGTGTTTGTATGTTGAAGAAAATACACTTATTTCAAAATCAAATATACTTAAAAGATATAAAACATTTGATTAAAGACCATCATGTACAGATTATTGTATTATTAAATACAAAGATATAAAAATTAATATTATGCCCAACCACTTAGGAGAATTACAGTTTGAGGACAGCTTGGGCAAAAAATAAACACAAAAGCTAATGAAAGTTCTTCACAAAAAATAAGCTGGAGCCGGGCGCTGGTGGCTCACGCCTGTAATCCTAGCTACTCAGGAGGCTGAGATCTGAGGATCGCGGTTCAAAGCCAGCCCGGGCAGGAGAGACCGTGAGACTCCTATCTCCAATAAACCACCAGAAAACCGGAAGTGGCGCTGTAGCTCAAGTGGTAGAGCGCTCGCCTTGAGCTGAAGAGCTGAGGGACAGCGCCCAGGCCCAGAGTTCAAGCCCCACGACCGAAAAAAAAAAAAAAAATAAGCTGGGCACAAATGTCTCATACCTGTCATCACAGCTACATGGTAAGTGTAGGTGAGAAGATCTTAGTCCAGCTGGCTCTAGGTAACCAAAGGCCTGGGGGTATGGCTCTAGTACCAATAAATTAAAAAAAAATACTATAGTCATACTGATTTATGATAGTTTTAGTATGTATTTGAAAACTTTATCATTTGATTTATTGGTAGGTACAATTTTTAAGAAAATAGGAATATTTTTAAGATGCATGTTGAGAATCATTGATGGTGGCTAAAACTTTCACAAAGAAGTAAGTCAAATATGATTCATTTGATTGAAAAATTGTTCTCATTTGACTCAAAACTATTCACATCTGGATTATTTTATGGTTAGAGGTATGTTCCTAAATAGTTTCTTTGCTTTTGTATACTACCAAATAAAAAAGAATGTTGTCTAGGAGACTGAATAGTAGTTAATGGACTTTTTTTTTTTATCACTTTACTGAAAAAAATCCTCAAAATGACTGTACTACTGTAAATATCAGATTTATTGTTAACTTTTTACATTTTGATTTCCTATAAGTAATTAGCTAATATACATCTATGGTGAATTAAAGTGTTATATTTTGATATAGTTCCTTAATTTTTAAGGTCTTCAGCTTCTTTATCTTCTGGTGTTAAGATTTTTATGAGTTCAAAAATTGGTTATTCTGGGGGCTGGGAAGTTGGCTCAGTGGTAGAGTGCTTGCCTTGCATGCCTGAGGCCCTGAGTTCGATTCCTCAGCACCACATAAGCAAAAAGAAAAAAAAGCCAGAAGTGGCGCTGTGGCTCAAGTGGTAGAGCGCTAGCCTTGAGCTGAAGAGCTGAGGGACAGTGCCCAAGCCCAAAGTTCAGGCCCCACGAATGGACCCCACCCAAATTAAAAAAAAAAAAAAGAGTATTGTATTGGGGCTGGGAAGGTGGCTCAGTGGTAGAGTGCTTGCCTTGCATGCCTGAGGCCCTGGGTTCGATTCCTCAGCACCACATAAGCAAAAAGAAAAAAGCCAGAAGTGGCTCTGTGGCTCGAGTGGTAGAGCACTAGCCTTGAGCTGAAGATCTGAGGGACAGCGCACAGGCCCAGAGTTCAAGCCCCACTACCGGACCCAAAAAAAATAAAATGTGTAATTTCTTATCGAACATCTCTACCTGGATGTCATGAGCTCAAAACATATGTAACATTAAATCATAATCCTCTGCAGTGTTCTAGTGCTTCTACCTCAGCAAGTTGACTCAGCAAGTCATTCTTGATTCCCATCTTCTAGCAGTCAGAATCCAACTTCTCCCTGTGCCTCAAGCCTCCTCCCCTACCCTGGAATGATCTTAGAGACCCTAGAGGTAGCATGAGACCAGGCATCAGGATCCCCATGTTAAAGAACTAGACAAATACAGTTGATTCTACTGGCTAACTCTAATTCCACTGACTTTTTAAAAAAAATGTACGTTGCTATTATCTTTCACTTAAGATTTCTGATTTATAGTTTAGCTCCCTCTAATAGGTCTTTGCACAATTTTTGATAAAAGTATCATTTCAATTTATTTCCCATTATATTTCTATTATCTGGCATAGTGCATGCTATTTAGGTGCCTGAAAAAGAGGTTTTAAATCTATATTCTCATTGCAAATATAAAGTCAATTTCCTTGGAAATTTAATTTCCATGGAATCTCTTTTTGTAATTGTCAACTGAAATTATTATTGTTATTTTTTTGTACTGGTCCTGGGGCTTGAACTCTGGGCCTGGCTGCACTCTCTGAGCTTTTTTGCTCAAGGCCACTTAATCTGTTGCTCCATCTACTTTTGGTTTTTTGCCAGTTAATTGGAGATCAGAGTCTGATGAGCTTTCCTGCCTGAGCTGGCTTTGAACCTCAATCATGAGATTTCAGATCTCTTGAGAACCTAAGATTACAGGCATAGTCACCAGTGCCTGACTTGAAACTATTACTGATGTACATTGACTTACTAAAGAATACTATGCAGTTACTTTGACTAACTTTATAACATAAACTGAATATATCCTTTAAATGATCAAACACAGTTGTTTTTTTTTTTTTTACTGCAAAACAGTTTGATAACTGACCATTTTCTGTGGAACTGTGGAACTCCTCTTAGTAATTACTTCCATCATCAGATGGGCTCTGCTGCTGCTGTTAGCTGTACATTTACCTAAATCCACATCATATCACGCTGTCTTATCCCATTGTCTTCTGTCTCAAAGCCACATACTACCCTCCCCAATGGTTTTTTTTTTTTTCTATTTTATCCCAGTACTCTTTCTCCTATTTTTCTCTCCCTGTGCAGAGAACAACACAGTAAGCCTGGAATTGCCTATCCTTAGAAAAGTCTGCTTGCAGGATTGGCCTGTGCCTGGGATTTAGCAAATAAACAGTTCCCTATATTGTTATAAAAGTTTGCTTAAACGACAAGGATGTTTTATTGTGCCCAAAACTGTTTGAATACTTACTTCTGGAGAGTCTAGAATTTTGGTACGTGCTAGTCAGAGGTCACTATGATCAGTTCTTGGTACAGTCTTCATTTAATGTGTCCTATATGACTCCATTGGGGAAGACCTTTTGGAAATTTCTATCTAGTTTCTTCTGGATTCTTAGCCTTACCTACTTTTTCTTGTTAATTTTGATTTTATAAACTGTAACTATGATGGTAACAATGACTTAGTTATTGCATTGTTTGAGTAATGGCCAGTCACCAAGCCTGTGAGTGGTGTTGGAGATGCTTGACTACTCTTGTTTCTTTCTTTTCGTTTTCTTTCTTTCTTTCTCTCCTCCACTTTCTCTCTCTTTTTTTTTCCTGGTTCTTTCTCAGCTGCTTAACCTCTAACTTTGATACTTCAGGAATTCATCATCTGTTTCTAACCACCTTAGGTATTTTTTAAATTACCAATTCTAGAAATTCTTTCCTTCTTAAATTAAAATGCCATTGATCAACATTTCAAGTTCCAAAATTAACTAGATTCATTTTGCTTCTCATGCTTTGAAGTCATCATTTTGGAACTCTGCAAAGCAAATATTACATTACCAAAATAAGGTAAAGAGATTTACTTTGTTACTAGAAATTACATGGCTAGATTATTATTACTGTTTTTACTATTTTTGACAATAGTGAGCAATACTCAGTTTGTACTTACTAAGCAGGCACGTTACTACTTGAGCCATGCCCCTAACTCTTTTAAATACAGTGTTGAATTTATGCCTGGGCTGGCTGGACTCCTGATTCCTCTATTTACATTTCCACACCCTACTTTTTATTGGTTGAGTTGGGGTTTCCCAAACATTTTGTCGGGATTGTTCTTGAACCTCTGTCCCCCCAAATTCCACCTTCCTAGAAGCTAGGATTATAGTTATGAGCCAGTAGATCTGGCTTTAGTTATTTATTTATTTTTTAGATGAGATCTCACTGTTGGCTTCAACCTGCCCACCTTTATACCTTCAGCTTCCCAAGTGCTTGAAATATGGACATGAACAACTTTAGCTGGTTGACATTTAAAAACTGCTTTTCATGGTCATTTGTGTTGATGTGTGCCTTTGGTATCAATTATGTGGGAGGCAAAAGTCAGAATCAGCAGGGGAAAATGTTAGGAAGACCCCCGTCTCAACAAACAAGCTGAGTGTGGTTGTAGATGTTTGTATTCCCAGGTGGGAGGGAGATGTAGTTGGAAGGCCAACTCTAATTAAAGGGAGTCCTATCTGCAGAATAGTTAAAGCAAAATGACCTAGGAGTTTGCCATATGTGGTAAAGTGTTTGCCTAGCAAGTGTAAGGCCCTGACAATACAAAAACAAAACAAAAATTTAAAAATTCGCCGGGAACTGGTGTCTCATGTTTGTAATCCTAGCTACTCAGGAGGCTGAGATCTAAGGATCATAGTTCAAAGCCAGCTCAGGCAGGAAAGTCCCTGAGACTCTTACCTCCAATTAACCACCAGAAAACCAGATGTGCCGCTGTGGCTCAGGTGGTAGTGTGCTTGCCTTGAGCTGAAGAGCTCAGGGACAGCATCGAGGCCAGAGTTCAAGCCCCATACTACCAACAACAAAAAATTAAAAATTCCTTTTGAATATACTCATAATCTGGAAAAGAATTATTAGATTTAAAAATACAAAAGAGAGCATCAGAAAGTCCTACTATAGAGCTTTGAAGTTTAAGGTTGACTAAAAATTAAGGCAAAAATTTCAGTTAATATAAACAGTTTAGAAAATACATATAAGGAAGTTTTCATTAATTCTTATTTTCATAATTATTCCTTTTTAACAATTTAGCTGTGGGTTTATTTTGTTAAAGGTAAGATCCTTAATACTTTTCTATTTTTTTACTTAGTTTGTGATGAGACAGATGGGTCCTTGTTACTACAAGAGAGTACAATGTTCTTGAAGTAGTTACATCTTCACAAATTGACTGTTTACATAAAAGGCCTACTGTTGCCGTTTTTTCTTCTGATTTTATGAAGTGCTTAAGATACTACATAAAGCAATTCTATGCTAATTTGTCATGGGGGTTATTATGGGTACTTTATTTGAAGATTAATGTTAAAAAGTATGCTTTAGTTTATACTACTTTAACCCACAACTTTTTAGAAATAAAGTACTTCTAGTTGTAATTGGCCTGAGGCATGTTATTATAGCTTAAGTGATGTTTATTTGAGGTGACATCACTTCAAATGATCCTAAAAAGACAGGAATGCTTTACTTGTTGCTAGAACCATTTTAAGACTCAGCCAAATAAGTTTCGCTATGTTTCTTAGTGTATTAAGCCAATTAAAATGCTTTTTTTAATATTTAGTTAAGTAGAAAAATTGTTTCCTACAGTTCTTATTTTTAAATTTTTACTACTTTTGGCTGTACTGGAGTTTGAACTCAGGGCTTCATATATACTATGTAGGCACTCCATAACCCCAACCCTTGTAGCTTTATTTTCATGTAGTATGTCTAATTCTATAAAATTTTGGTACCAGATGACAAAAAATAAGTAGTTGAAGATATTTTATGTTGACTGTACTGTAAATTTATGATTATCATTTAACAAGAAGCATTTGATATGGTTTCAGGTCTACTAAGGCAGTTGCTACAACTAAAATTCATACAGAAAATCCAAGTACTGTTTCTTTTTTTTTTTGCTAGTCTTGGAGCTTGAATTTACAGCATGGATACTGTCCCTTTGCTAAAGACTAGCATGCATGCTATCACTTTGAGCCACAGTTGTACTTCCAGCTTTACTATGATAAATTGGAGATAAGAGTCTCACAGACTTTCATGCCCAGTCTGGCTTGAACTAGGATCCTTAGATCTCAGACTATTGCACCACTGGCACTTGGTGCAAGATAATTAAGTAATGATATGAGCTGGGCGCTGGTGGCTTATACCTGTAATCCTAGCTACTTAGGAAGCTGAGATCTGAGATCACAGTTTAAACCAGCCCTGGCAGGAAAGTCCCTTATACTCTCATGTCCAGTTAACCACCAGAAAACGAAGTGGCACTGTGGCTCAAGTGGTAGAGTTAGCTGAAGAGCTCAGGGACAGCACCCAGGCTGACTAAAAAAAAAAAAAAAGGTGAGCAATAATTCACAAATGAAAGTGAATCAACAGTTTTTCCCCCATTCTTCTGTATAAATGCAAAGTATAATTAAAATAGATTGTAAAAGCCACCTTAAATATAGGACATTTCAGAAAGTTATAAATTGCTGGTTTCATCCTAGGAAAATTGCATTAGGAGATATCTTTTGTATCCTTGTCTTTGTTTCCTTGACACAATAGAATATCCATTGTGACCTTATATGACTTGATATATAAGTAACTCTAGTTACTCATTGCCATGCCTCCTCTCTGTGCATTGACTTCCAAAGTAAAAAATGAAATACCAATATGTGTTCTTTGCTCCCTTTCTCATTCTTCTTTTGCTTAGGCATTCAGTATATATTCATTTCCACATTTATCTGTTGTATTTCTTGTGTACAGGTTGTGTATTAGATGTTATAAAATGAATAAAGCATGGACCTTGCCCTCTTGAATCTTATATCTTAATTTCACGTGTTGCTTCATTCTGAATATGAGAATCAGAACTATTTTTCTCCTTAGGATTAACTTCTATATTAAAAAAAAATAGCTGGGTGCTGGTGGCTCACGTTTGTAATCCTAGCTACTCAGGAGGCTGAGATCTGAGGATTGCAGTTCAAAGCCAGCTAGGGCAGGAAAAATCCATAACTTATCTCTAATAAACCACCAGAAAACCAGAAGTGGCGCTGTGGCTCACATGGTAGAGTGCTTGCCTTGAGCTGAAGAGCTGAGGGACAACACCTAGGCCCAGAGTTCAAGCTATATGACTGGCTAAATAAATAAATAAGTAAATAAGAGTTTGATTCCTTTGTGAGGAAAAAATTCCTTTCCAGGATGATAGAAAATTCCACGCAGATGGAATGTTTTACATTCTTTTGAAGTGAGTTATAAGCATAGGTGAGAGGTATCGCATGTATCCTATGGTTTGTCACCAAGGAATTTAGTAAGCCAGAAGTATTTATCAGCAGAATTCTACAGTGCTTAGTAAGGAAAGCAGGATTTTAGTCTTCTATAAAAATCAGTAGGCCTACATTTATGTTTTACTACTTTGGTTTTTCTCCCCCTCTGAAATAATTTAGTGATGTAATAAACAGTAATATGACATATACATGATAAGTTCCCATAGTCTGCTGCATTACAGGACACAAAAATGGTGATTTTGCTTAAGTACTTACATTAACTATAGAATATTTATGGTAGAAATGATAATTTTTAATAACTATACTAGTATGTACATAATAGGACTAAGAAAGGAGGGCTTTATAAATATAAATGTACTTCTGATATTTGTGGTTCTTTATCTTTTTTTTTTTCTTCTGGTACTGGAACCTTTGAAATCAGGGCCTTGAGCCTGCTCAGCTTGTTTGCTTAGTTGATGCTCTATTACTTGAGCCACACGTCCAGTCCAGCATTTTGTTTTGTTTTGGTTGGTCATGGGACTTGAACTCTGGGCCTGGGCCGCTGTCCTTGAGCTCAAGGCAAGCACTCTACCACCTCAACCACAGCGCCACTTCGTTTTCTGGTGGTAAATTGGCGATGACTTTCACGGGCTTTCCTCCCCGAGGTGATCCTCAGATATTAGCCTTCTGAGTAGCTAGGATTACAGGCATGAGCCACTGGTACCTGGCTCAGTCCAGATTTTGCCCATCAGTTGGGCTGACTTTGAATCTCAGGTCTCCTGGTCTCTGCCTCCTGAGCATCTAGGATGATAGACAGGAACCATTGGTGCTTAAAATCGAATTTTACTTTTCTTAGTCCTGGTGCTTGAACTTAGGGCCTGGGTGATGTCTCTGAGCTTTTATACTCAAGGCTAGCTAGCACTCTCCCACTTTGAGCCACAGCGCCACTTCCGGTTTTCTGGTGGTTAATTGGAGGTAAGAGTCTCACGGACTTTCTTGCCTGGCCTGGTGTTGAACCTCAATCCTGCGATCTCAGCTTCCTGAGTAGTTAGGATTACAGGGGTGAGTCACTGATGCTGGCTTGTAATCTAATTTTTTAACAGTTCTGTTTAAATATATGTGTCATGAAATTTACCATAAAGTGTATAGCTCAGTGGATTTAGTGTATTTTTAATTTGTATTGTCATCCTAAAGTGTAGTTTAATTTTTGAATTTCATGTGAAGAATAACTACTGAAAATGTAGTTTTCTTCAAAAATTACATGCATTTATAGAGTTTGGGATGTTGGATTTGGAATTGGATTGTGAATATTGGTACTTAATGCCACTGAATTGCATCCCTAAAACTTAGATGGTTAAAATGAAAAATTTCATATGCCACAATTAAAAAGTTAACCATTATGTGAAATCAGAATACACAGTTGAACTTTAAATTCTTTAGCAATTTAATTTTAAAAGCATATGCCTTTAGTATTTTTTCTCAGAAATGTGTGATAGCAAAGATACTTTTGTTTACTAAAGAGAAGAATTGAAAACGGACACATAAAATTGTTGTAGGTACTTTTTTTTTGTAGAAATTGAAGTAAAATTAAGCAGAAGAGTGAAGGCAATTAGTTTTTTATGTTTAGTTTGCTGTCTTGAAAAGAAAGTGCTAAGCAATGCTATATCATTGTTTAAATAGAGGAAAAGTAAATACAACACACATCAATGCATATCTAAGGTTACAAAATTGCTTATAGATGCATGGAAGGATTTCTGAAAGGAGGTAAAAGAAACAATGTTCTGAGCGAGAGAACAGGTTGGTTAGGGTTCATGCATGAGAATGATCTTTGCCATTATGAACATGTGTTATCAATTAGAACATTGTAAATCTGAAACTTCCTGATTCCAGTCTCAGAATCGTACAACTATGTTCCTTCCTACTTGGCTTTACTATGTAGCAGGTAAAACTTCAATGAAAGTGGTTTGAAAACAAACTATAGTACATACATTAAAGTTTTTTTTCTAGGAATTGACTATGGATTAAGTTTGCCCCTTGGGGAAGACTATGAACGGAAGAAACATAAATTAAAAGAAGAATTGCGCCAAGATTATAGACGTTATCTTACTCAGGTAATAAGTTGTTTTATTAAATTGTGTCTTATGCTTCAGAATTCATCTTCTAAATTCTTAATATTAGATACATGTGTTAATTTTCTATTATTTCTAGCAAAATCATATAGCTAAAGTTAAGTGGCATATATGACATTGGTGCTGAGAACTTGTGCCATGAAATAACAGACTTTTTCCTGGGGGTTTGATTCATTGGTAGAATGTGGGCTAAGTATATGTGTAAGGTCCTAGATTTGATCCATAAATGGGATGGATGAGTAGGTTATAGTGAGTGACAACAGACTTGTGACATTTGAAGTAGGGAAGTAGGTCCTACTTTTAAATGATTGTTAAGTTCTGATTGTCCCATGTTTTCTGTAGAGTTATCATGGTTTGATTATGATTGCTCAGTCTTCTACTTTACCGTCATGTATTAAACTGACATGTGGAATTCTAGTTGCTGATTTTTTTTTATGAGCTAATAAGCTTTTTACATTTCATTGAACATGTTTAGTAACTACTAATAGTTTTTTTTGTTTGTTTTGGTTGCTTTAGAAGAAAAACAATTTAAGGGAGGAAAGATTTATTTTGGCTCACAGTTTGAGAGTTACCACTGTAGTTTGCTGGCTCTGGGCCTGTAGTGAGGCTGAAACACATGGCCCAATGATATGGTAGAAGGTTGCTCGTTTGATGGCAGATAGGAAGCAGAGGAGCTTAGACAGGAAAGGGCAAGGAGAAGGTAGGTATATCCCCTGAGGATGGTTTCCCTGTGATTTACTTCCAGCAAGGCCCCACAACTAAGTTTCCAACACCTCCCAAAATAATGCCACTAGATGGGCACTAAGGATTCCATGTGTGAACCTATGGGTTTCATACTCGCACTATAACAACTAGCAAAGTCTTTGCTTTGTAATTTAAAGTTTTATCTAGCAGAATATAGCAGTTATTTTAGGTAATTTAGTCAAAATTATTAGTTAAAGGTTTATTGTAAGTTTTAGAATGTAGATTACTTTTTATGTTACAAAAATATTTTAAACAATCATGTTTCTAGACATCCAAGATATTCTTTAGTTTTTCCACTACTAGATCATGTTTGTATCAAATGCACATGTGGTTTCTTGTTTATTGTAATTTACGCATGGACAGAATGGACTTTGACTGAATATATTTTTCAATGGTCTGTTTTTCTTGACTTTAGGGCATTACCCAAGCAAAAAGAAAGGTAGGGTTACCTTAAAATGTTTTCTTTTAGTTTAGCTTTTTAAATGTAGTTTTTAATTATTTACATATATGATTTAACCAATTAGAAAAAGTTTCATTTGTTTCTGAGAGTTTTGGATGGTATCATTTTGTATGTTTGCTTTTAGCAAGATGATGATCTATGCATGATAATTTTCCATTAGTTCAATCATTACTTTTGATTCTTGTTGTGTATTTGTTTTGTTGCTTTCTTATGCTGCTTTTATTAATCTGCAAATGTTTTCAACATGCCTTTTGCTAACCATATTATGCTAATCACAAGATATTTGAAAATAATCAAGATATTTGAAAATATTTTGAACTGCATGTTATTGGAACATAGATTATTTGGTAGTGTTGTAGCAAAGCCTGTCATTTGTGCTTATAAATTTATATTGGAAAACAAATTTTTGCCAAGCACATTTATAAATATTGGAAAACATGGAAATGAATCAGGAAGTGTGGATCCTGTCTTCAAGGAGCTGAGACTGTAGCTGTTGGGATAACACAATATTCATACAATTTGGAAAGTGATAGCTACAGCAAGAAATATACAATGAGACAGACTAGAATAGTGGAGAGTGTTACTTTGAAAGGCATTACAGGACAGGTTGAATTGATGACAGAGTCATTATTGGGCAAAACTAAGAAAACTTTCACCTATAGTTTGTAGGCTGACAGAAGGACTTGGAGGCTAGATTTTAGGTGTGTGGATGAGAACATGTACCAGATTTGCTAACCTGACTGGATCAGATATGATTTCTTTTGAGAGTAATGAGAAATAATACTGTAGAAGGATCAAATTAGAAAACAGTTTTTAATTTATGTGTAATAGGCAGTGGTGAAACAATATATTTCTGTAATTAGCCTGTGAAGAGCCCAATAACTATTTTAGGACAATTTCTTCTACTTGTTTGAGATTCTCATCTCACTGTCTTAAATTGATTGCTGTTGTTGTATCTTCACTGCTCTTGTTGCATTAATTCACAGTCCATTTTCCATGCTACGGTAAAGGATGGTTCTATCATTCTGAAAGTTCTGAAAGGCTAGCTAATTCATTCAGTATTGCACCAAGTGTGTTCGTAGATAACATGACTTGTCCTGGATACTATTACACCACTTATTAGACACAGCTATACAAAGGGTAACAGCCAACTGATGTATACCTAGCCTTTCTCAATGATTACTAAGTATAGGGTCAGATAAGAGATAGCCTAGGCTTTGGTGGCTAGCACAGCATTTATGGCTTACTACTTTAAACTGTGTCTCTTAGGACTTGGGATAAATGCTAGAGTCACCTGGTAGGCAAACTGTTGGTTACAACCAAGGTGACTGGTTATCTTAACCTGGATCCCCACAGGAGACATAAAAAGAAGCTGAAAGACAAGGAAGCACCAATCTTTACATTTAAAGGAATGTCAAGGTGTTGTTTTTTTTTGCCAATGGATTATAATTGAATATAAGAATATAATTGAGGGGCTGGGAAGGTGGCTCAGTGGTAGAGCACTTGCCTTGCATGCTTGAGGCCCTGGGTTTGATTCCTCAGCACCACATAAGCAAAAAGAAAAAAAAAGAATTAAAAAAAGAATATAATTGAGGTAGAAGGTATTTCCTTAAAGTGACAGTAAAAATTTTTGGAAGATATCTGAGAAGGTGGGACTTGAAAGGCAAACAAGAGAAAAAAATTACATTGAATGTGAAGAGATGGCTATAGGTTCTTGTATTGTTTGGATATGTGTAGTTTCTAAGTCTTATTTCTTTGTTTTTTTTTTTTTTGGCTTCTTGCTTTAAGATGTCATGGATACTTAATTAAAAAATATATTTTTTTTGGCCAAGAATAGCCACTAAAAGAAATATCTGTATAAGTTTTAGAATCAATAATACTTGACTGTCTAATAATGCAGAAAGGACATAGTCTCAGGAGAACAGTTTTAAAATTGAATTATTAAATTAATATCACAAGCCCAGGTTTCTGTCCTTAACCTAAAACTTTTCTATCTGGCTATCTACCAGACATTTTCATTTATGTTTTAAGACTATGTTCAAAAGAGAATCCTGTTAGGTGCTGGAGGCATGTAATCTTAGCTACCCAGAGGCAGAGATCTGAGGATTGTGATTCAAAGCCAGCCTAGGGAAAAAAGTCTATGAGACTCTTTTCTCCAGTTAAACACCAAAAAGCCAGAAGTGGTGTTCTAGCTTAAATGGTAGAGTGCAGAAAGGCTCAGGGACAGTGCCCAGGCCCTGAGTTTAAGGTGGGATGCAGGAGGGTGTCCTGATTGCCATTTTTCCTACTCTTCTCTCTCTCCCTATTCTTCTCTCTCTCCCCCTTTCTCTCCCCCCCTGCTGTCTCTCCTTCTTCCTCCCTCTCTTCCCCTCTCTTTCCTCCCTCTGTCTCTGTATTTCTCTGTATCTTTCTGTCTCTGTCTCTCTGTCTCTGTGTCTCTGTCTCTCTCTGTCTCTGTGTCTCTGTCTCTCTCTCGCCAGTCCGGCAGCTTGAACTGAGGGCTAGAACTCTTACCTCTTGAGGCACACCACCACTTCTAGCTTTTTCTGTACTAAGGAATCGAACCCAGGGCTTCATGCATGCTAGGCAAGCACTCTACCATTGAGCCATATTCCCAGCCTGCTACTCTCAACTCTTAAAATCCTGAACTCTTGGTAGCTTGCTCTTTTTCATTATTATTTTTGGATCACAGTTTTGACCTTCCAACATACTGATGGATCCCAAATGTATTGGGCATATAGCAGGCACTTACCATTTACAGAATGATTAAAGAATAACTAAAATTCAAGTTTTTATGAAGCTATATTGTCATTCTTATTTTTCATTTATTGAAAATTTCAAACATTATCCTAGACCTGTATTGGGAGTGAGAAAGATTTATGAAGGAAGATTTATAACTGTCTTATGAGTGTTGGAATTCTGACCTCTTTTTTGTGCATGAAATGATCAGGCTTATATACAGGGAATAAACTGGTTTCAGGATCACTATAGTAATGTGTCTTATTAAAGTTACATACAACCAACTTAAAATGAGCTTTTGTAGCGCAACTAACTTTTAATTACAGATGTTATAGAACTTTATTAATAATTTTTATTAAGCACTCTTCCTATTATTAATTATTGTGTTTCCATATAGTCAGTTTTTTTTTTGCCTTTGGTACTGGGATTTGAATCAGGTCCTGAGTGCTGTCTCCTAACATTTTTACTCAATGATGGCACTCTACCACAGTTCTATTCTTTGGTTGTTAGTTAAAGATAGTAGTTTCATGGACATTTTTTCCTGGGCTGGCTTTGTACCTTGATCCTCAAATCTGAGTAGCTCAGCCATGGCCACCTGGCTATTCAGTGTTTTGAATGTAGTGTTATTATAGCAGATAGTACATTGTATGGTAGTTATATTTCTTTTGCTAACTAGGTTGTTAATCTCTTGTTTCCATATTACTGAAAATAGTACTTGGATAATATTAACTAGTCAATAATTGATTATTTAATGAATAAAAGCAGAGAACCAAAAAGTTAGCATCTTGATCGATTTGATCTTTATAATATAATAAGTGATACTGTCTCTGTTTACAGATGAAGAAACTTAGGGAAGTTAAGTAATTAGTGTGTTAGCTGTATGACTACCAAGTGTCACTATCAGAAAGTTGGAGTTTTTTTTTTTTTAAATCTTCTGTGGTTAATTTATTTTTGTGTGCTGATCCTGGGGTTTGAACTAGGTTTGGGTACTGTCCCTGAGCATTTTGGACAGTGTTCTACAACTTTAGCTACAGATCCACTCTTGGGTTTTTGGTGTTAAGTGTCTTATAGATTGTCCTGTGTGGACTAGTTTTGAACTATGAGCCTCAGATCTCAGCTTCCTGAGTAGCTAGAATTATAGATGTGAGCCACCAGCACCCAGCCTTGAATAAGACTTTAAAAATGAAAATTAAGGTCTGAGTTTTCCTTTCAAGGATTTGTTGATTGAAAAAAATTCCATATTTTTCCCTAGTCATTTTTGGTATGCTCTCTAGACTTAAAATTTTTGTCTTTGTTGCCATTTCATCCTTATTCTCGCTCTCTGTAATGTAGTAGATTTGGATATAGAATGTAAAGGAATTTATGAAATATTTTTAGAGGCAACTAGTTAATATATATATTTTTATGTGTATGTGTACAGAAAAATTTTCTAACCACGGGTGAAACAGACCTATCTACTCTGGGAGTGTCTCTTCCTATTGGTGAGAGGTTATCTGCCAAGGTAGGTGGATAAGGAGTAGTTACTCTGGGTAGTAGTTTTCTTAGGCATCAAGTCATAGGCGAACCTATTACATTGTTTTCTCATACTTTAGTATATTTCTTTTCCACCAATCTATGGAGTTCCTAATTGTTACTGAAAAAGGTTTGAACATTTTGTTTGTAATCAGGTAATGTGATATATTTATTTGATAAGTTGATTATTGTATTTGATTATACTGAATTGAATATTTGGGACATTTTTTTAGTATTGGTTTCTTTTTTTGGGTTTAGTATTGTTTCTAAACTACAAAGTTTATGGTATTGTGACATAGTTGTCAGTATTAGGACCATTGAATGTGAGAGTATAGTGAGCTTTTATGTGGGTAAGTATAGAGAATATTTGAAATGTTTCTTTTACTTGAGTAATACAGTTTTATATTTTAGAGGCAATAATGACAAAGCACTTTATACTTCTTTCAAGATTTAATTTCCCATATAGATCCTTAAATAGTATCAAAGACAACATGGACAGTTACTGAGTTTCAAAAGTTAGCCTTGTTTTCTCAATATTGTTACATTATGTTATTTCAGTGATATGAGATGTTTAAAAATTTCCTAATGTATTAATGTTTCACCAGATAATTTCTAGAAAAGTATTTTAATGTTTATACAATTTTACTTTCGTATGTTTAAAATACAATGAGAGTCCTTCTTTAACTTTGGCAATGAAATGGTTAGAGTGGGTTATAGTTGGGAGGGGGAAGTGTTTCTGACAAGGAATAAAAGGATTTATTTATCATATTTTTTCTAATTTATTGTTATTTATCTTATGTATCTTATATATCTTAGCTGGAGAAACTTAGGAATGATTTTAGATGTGTAGAACTAGTTTATCTAGGATTGTTTTTCATAAAGAAAAACTAGAATGTATGGATTTATGAGGCATGGTTGTTTGGGAAATAACTTCTACACTGAAATATAGAGTGAGATGTTCCATTACTGGATCAAGTCCCTTCTGTTGGAGACCCCACAGGTTCATAGACCAAAGTATGCAGCCATGCTTATTCTTGTGTGGCAAGAGAACTGGAATATTGCAATGATAGTCACATCTTTTCTACTTAATCTTTTTCCTTGCAATGACTTCTCTCCTTCAAATTGCTAATAAAGCTCAATTCTGAGTAAGAGTTCTGATTTGTAGGATTCTGATTTTGATATTAAGGTACATTTTCTTAAAGTTGAAGTAACATGTCTTTTGATTTCTATTTTAAGGAAAGGTTGAAACTTGAACGCAATAAAGAATACAATCAGTTTCTCAGGGTTAAGGAAGAATCCAGTGAAAAGATCAGACAGGTAGAAAAGAGTACTGAGGTAGGTTTTACTTTTAACTTTTTAATACCACAGCTGAATATTTTGTACTTACTTAAAAAAGCCATTTATGTGTCAGATATTTCACTTGCCATTACTTTTAAGTTTTTTTGGTGGTTGTTTGTTTTTGTGCCAGTTCTGGGGCTTGAACTCAGGGCATGGGTATTGCCCCTCAGCTTTTGTGCCCAAGGCTTAGCACTCTACCACTTGAGCCACACCTCAGTTTTCAGCTTTTTGGTGATTAATTGGAGATAAATGTCTCACAGACTTTCCTTCCTGGATTGGCTTCAAACCTCTATCCTCAGATCTCAGTCTCCTGAATAGCGAGGGTTACAGGTGTGAGCCACCAGTTTTAGATAAGAGTTGTATCTGTAGTTTAGACTGTCCTAAAACTTCTACTTTAGCCTCCAGAATGCTGGGATTTTGTGTGAGTGCCATCATACCTCTCATTCTACCTAGTTTTTATGTAAGCACTTGAAAAATTAACCAAATCACATTAAACTATAGGGCCTTTAAATATTTCCTTAGGAAGTTGTTTTATCTCATAGTGAAGAATTTAACCTACCTTTTAAAATGTAACCTTATTTTAAAGATTTGTTTTAGAATTTACTTTAAGTGATTTTTAAGTGACTTTTTAAAAAATATTGAGTTTATGATGTATATTATTATGTTTAGTATGTATATTATTTTTTCCAAATTTGAAGGCAGTTGATATTACTAAGGTCAGAAGTTTACTATTTTTTAATTTTTTGTATCAAGAAATAATTTAATTGGAAATATTTTCAAGTAACATGTGAATGCTAATAGATGGCTAGGATGTCCTGGGATGAGAATTTGCATTTTGTTCATCTTCAGTTTTTGTAGCCATTGATATATTTTATCATTGCCTCTTTATTTTACTAAGTTTTAATGTAAGATAAATTTTCCTTTAATTTCTTTTCTAGAGGAAAGATATTTCTTATGAGTAATTAAATATCCAAAATGAGATAAGAAATAGACTAAACACGATTTAAGTCTTTATCTAACTTTTAAGTGATAGTTTTCTTTCTTCTCTTTTAAAATTGAACAACTGAAGAGTCAAAGAAGTAAAAATCCTATTAGTCAAGTTAAGCCTGTTCTACCTTCACAAATACAAACATCTTGCACAAATTCAGAAGCTCATAGGAGAGATGGTCTAACCGCTTCAGAGGCATATGAAGAACTTCTAAACCAAAGACGACTAGAAGAAGACAGATACCGGCAACAGGATGACGAAATTGAGTTAAGAAATAGAAGAGTTACTAAAAAAACGAATGAAGGATTGGGCATTTCCAGTACAAAACATCAAAGGTTTGCCAACAAGGCTTGTGTGCCAGAAAGAACATCGCGAAGATTTAATGAGGATCGTGTTTTTGACAAACAATATTCTAGAGCAGATCAAGATCCTGAAGTAAGTGAAGAAATGGACGAGAGGTTTAGATTTGAAAGTGATTTTGATAGAAGATTTATGAGAGTGTATACAAATGACAGGTATTTACATCTTTATTTTACTTTATATACTTAATATACTGTTGTTACTTTTTATTATTTCATTAGGGAGAAATGATTGAATTTACTATAATTCTAAGATACTATCAATTTTAAGAAACATCATTTTATGGGCCACTGAGGAGGAAAAACCATCTAAACACCATTTTATTTATTTACTTATTTTTGCCAGTCTTGGGCTTGAACTCAAGGCCTGGACAATGTCTTTAAGCTTTTTTTTCCTCAAGACTAGTGCTCTACCACTTGAGCCACTGTACCACTTCTGGCTTTTTCTCTTTATGTGATACTGAGGAATCATATCCAGGGCTTCATGCATGCTAGGCAAGCAGTCTATCAGTAAGCCACATTCTCAGCCCAGAACCCCATTTAAAATCTGGAAAAACTAAAGCCAATACCTTCATGTACAAGTAAATTAAAAATAAACATTCCCAAGAAAGGGAATGTCTGTCTCAATCTTGGCATTGCAGTGAGTTACAAAACCAAAATGTTGGGGAATTTGAAGTATAAAGAAGTATTAATTGCTATTCATAGTTAAATTGATTGATAGTATCCCTAGATTATTGGCAGGGATAAAATAACTCTTTGCAATTACTTGTTTTAAAACCAGGAGAATAGCTCCCCCATTTTATTTGTTAAAATATAGAGAAAAAGAATACCTTAACATAGATGAAATATAGTTTATTCTTTTAATGATTTAATACTCTTGAAGATCTTTATCAGTATATTTTAAAGTTATTTATTGAACATTTATTTAAGTGAAATGGCATCATTAAGTTTTTTAAATCAGATTTTCAGATGCTTTTCATTATTTTGAGTAATTCCTTTTATTTTCTTTGTCTTGTCTTTTCTTTGTTTCTTTCTTTTTCTCTTTCTTTTTCTTTCTTTCTCTCTCTCTTTCCTTCCTTCCTTCCTTCCTTCCAATCCTGGGCTTAGGTGATGTCCCTGAGCTTTTTTGCTCAAGGCTAGTTGGTATCACTTGAGCCACCACTCTACTTTTTTGGGTAGATAAGTATTTTTTGGAGATAAGTATTTCATGTATTGTCCTGCCCTAGCTGGCTTCAAACTGTGGCATCAAACTTCATTCCTCAGATCTCAGCCTCCTGAGTAGCTAGGATTACAGGCATGAGCCATCAGTGCCTGGCTCTGACACTAATTTCTTAGATTTTAATTTTAGAAATCTCAAAAAGTTTCTAACAAGGATAATTAAGAATGATTAAATGCTAAATTTATTAGATGGATGTTTGGGAGTCTTCTTTATTGAAAGGAAGTTTAGTGAATGCAACAAGTTCCACAGATTTGTACAGATATTTTTTCCTAGAGAATAAGATGGCTAGACTATGAGTTAGCTCATTGATAGAGCTGTCACTTAGCATTCATTAAGGCCCTGAGTTTGCCATTGGAAAAAGAAAAAAGTTGTACATGAATTTAACATGGCTAATAAGGCCTAACTAGCCCAGATCTTAAGTTCATTTTTAAAAAAGTGGGTAACTTTCCAAACTATCAGTTACTGCGATTTCAGCTCACGGACCAATAACTCAAATTGCTCACACCATTGTTACTCAACTACTTAAGACAGCCCTTTAGCTCTAATTTTTTGCTGTTATTTTGGAGAATAGTCTTTTTTTTTTTTTAGGCTGCCTTCGAACCTCAATGGATTATAGAATTGAAATAACCAGTATCAAGCTCTATTTTTTAAATAAGATCTTGTATTAGTTACTTTAAATAGTAATTCTAAATTTAAAAATGGTGAGCACATTTATATTAGTTGTTTAATAAAAAGATGCCTGAAGGTTTTTATGAAATTCTTTTAGTGTAATGTATATTTATGTTCTTTTTCTTGGCCTCTTAAACAATTCTTTGATATTGATTTCATTCTAATTATCAGTGATAGGTGACTTAAAATTTTGTAATGAATATTTTGTGTCTAGTGTAAGGCTCATGTTACAAAATCTTTCATATGGGCTGTAGTTTTACTATTGTTTTATCAGAGGCATTTGATGTGCATAAATATAATGATTGATTAAATTGAGTTTGGCATATGCCTTGAAAATGACTTCTTGGACATGGTGCTTGCTTTATTAAGTTATTTATATATGCTAAAGAGTCTTAAAATTTTTAGTTTGAATAATTTGGAAATAACTACATAAAGAACCTAGAATTATAAATCTAAATATTATCTTTGGACAACTCAGCAGAAAATTCAGGAAGCCAGAATTTCTTGGGTAAATTTTATAATAAATTTTTGTATTTCTAAGTGACCATTAATTCTGAGATCCCAAGTTACATTAAAATTTTAAAAGAATTTTATTGAAGTAGTTGGACACCAGGTATTGATTCTGCCAGAAACATAGGAACATTTTTAATCTTTCAGCATCTTCTTTGTTGTTTTCCTTCAAGGTTTTATTTTTTTGTTTTATAGGGTTCATGATAGAGTTCTTTCTCCTTGTTGGTTAGGTTTATTCCATTTTTATTTTATTTTTTGTAGCCATTGTTAATGGAATTGTTTTTCTAATTTCACTTGTATCCAGTTCATCATTGATATAAAGAAAAACATATTTGTTGCTTTGGGGATATATTATGCTTTGTTGCTGAAGGCATCTTTTGGCTCTAGGAGGTGTGTGTGTGTGTGTGTGTGTGTGTGTGTGTGTGTGTGAGTGTGACCACGCACGCGTGCGCTCGTGCACGTGTATGACCAGTCTTTGGGCTTGACCTTGGGGGCTTGGGAATTGAGCTTTTGTGCTCAAGGTTTGTCTATTGCTCTACTATTTTAGCTACAGCCTCATTCTCACTTTTTATAAAATATATTTTTATTGTAAAAGTACTGTACAGAAGGGTTACAGTTACATGAGTAATGTAATGAGTACATTTCCTATCGAGCATTGTTACCTCCTTTATTTTTCCCCTACCATTCCTTCCCTCTCTACCTCCCCAACTCCTCCTTCCTCCCCTAAGTTGTAAAGTTCATTTTCAACATAGTGTCTTATACCTCTCATTGTTACAATGGGTCAGCCTGTATCCTTATTTCAGCATTTTGTTATTTTTCTTCCCCTCCCCAAATTAAAAAAATGTATATACAAGATGCAGGGCATCTACATCAAATACAGTGAAAACGGGTTTTACCGTGGGGGAAGAACATACTAGAGAAACAAAAAAAAAATCACATAGTACAGTTTTGATACATTAAATCAATAGCAAGAATGAAAAAACTACTTGTGTCCCTGTCTTGGGGTTCATTTCATTAACATCATCTTATATGGTCATATGTACATAGCTTTTGACTTTTTCTGCTTGTCCTAGACTTATACTAGTTATTGCAAATAAGGGAAACCATGGGACTTATGTTTCTTTGGGCCTCGCTTATTTCACTTAATATAATTTTTTCCAAGTCTTTCCATTTCCTAACAGATGGGGCGGTGTCATTCTTTCTCATGGAGACATAGAATTCCATTGTGTATATATACCACATTTTCTTGATCCATTCATCTACTGAGGGGCATCTGGGTTGGTTCCATATCTTACCTATAGTAAATAATGCTGCAATAAACATAGTCGTGCTGGTAGCTTTAGTATAGCCTTGTTTGTGATCATTTGGGTAAATGCCCAAAAATGGGATTGCTGGGTCATAGGGGAGCTCTATGTGTAGCCTTTTGAGGAACCTTCGTACTACTTTCTTTGTAGTGGTAGTTTTTTTTTTTTTTTTGATCCAGTTGTGGGGCCTGAACTCTGGGCCTGGGCGCTGTCCCTCAGCTTTTCAGCTCAAGGCTAGAGCTCTACCACTTGAGCCACAGCACCACTTCTGGCTTTTTTTTCTTATGTGGTGTTAAGGAATCGAACCAAGGGCCTTGTGCATGCAAGGCAAGCACTCAACCACTGAGCCACCTTCCCAGCCCTTCATACTGCTTTCCAAAGTGGCTGAACAAGTTTACACTCCCACCAACAATGCAGTAGGGTTCCTCTTTGGCCTTACCCCCTCCAGTATCTGTTGTTATTAGAGTTCTTGATTTTTGCCATTCTAACTAGGGTGAGGTGGAATCTCAATGTTATTTTGATTTGCATTTCTTTTATGGCTAGGGAAGTTGAGCATTTCTTCATGTGTCTATTGGCCATTCTTATTTCCTCTTCAGAGAAGTTTGTCTTAAGTCTTTTAGCCCACTTGTTTATGGGCAGTTGTTTCTTTGAGGATTTGTTGGGGAATTTAATGTTTTGAGTTCTAAGTATATTTTAGATATGAGACCCCTTGTCTATTGTATGGCTAGTGAAAGATCTCCCAATGTGGGCTTTCTATTATTCTTGTTAGCTATGCAGAAGCTCTATAGTTTCATGCAATCCCATTTGCCCAACCTTTCTTTGATTTGTTGTGTTTCTGGGTCTTTATTAAGAAGATTTCAGCCTGTGCCAGGGAGCCCTTTAGTTTCTCCTATTTCCTCCTGTAATGTTTTCAGGGTTTCTGCTTTGATCTTGAGGTCTTTGATCCATTTGGAGTTGATTCTGGTGCAGGGTGATATAGAAGGATCTAACTTTAGTTTTCTAAAGGTGTTTAACCAATTTTGCCTGCACCATTTACTGAACAGTCTTTCTCCCATTCTATTTTTTAGCTCCCTTATCGAAGATTAGGTGGCTGTAGGTCTGTGGGTTCATTTCTGGGTCTTCAGTTCGATTCCATTCATTCTCAGGTCTGTTCTTGTGCCAGTACCAAGCTGTTTTGATTCCAAGCTCATTCTTCAATAAAATAAAGAAGCAACCCAAAAATTCATATGGAACAATAAAAGACCCCAGATAGCAAAAACAATCCTTAGCAGAAAGAACAGTATTGGAGGAATATCAATACCAAATTTCAAACTCTACTGCAATTCTTGCTTTTTGCTGGTTAATTGGAGATAAGAATCTCACACACTTAGCTATCCAAGATGGCTTCCAACCACAGTTCTTAGATCTCAGCCTCCTGAGTAGCTAGGAGCAACAGACAGGAGCAACCAGTACCT